CAAACTTGTAACATCGACCAAACCTGAAAAAGCCAGTGGAAAACGAACATCCAGTGCACATCAGGCCACCCAGCCTAGAAAGCACATAAACACAAGAAGGCTCTAAACATAAAAAGCTCTCTTTCTTGGACCTCAGCTGGGCGTCATGTCAGCTAGCAGCTACATCCTATGCCATGGTCTGTAGGCCTCGAATGCTCTCTTGAATTTGAACTAAGCCCGAAGCAAAGTTGGACAGCAAAGCTTTGACATTCTGGCTGTTGCCAGCAGTCCCAAACATTTTCATCTCTTCAAGTTGTGTTTGCCATGCAAACATGTCTTTGAGCTTCTGTTGCATCGCTGTTCAGTGCTGCGCACGCTGGCCCTTGAGCTTTCTCCAATGATTTCCTGGCTTGCTCGCGAAGGCTCTTCCACCAATTCAGCCCATCATCGATCTTGGACAAAACGGATTTGTCCAAAGCCTGTGGCACCTCTGCTGCTTTGTCACAAATGGCAAGTGGTCCTGGTGGTGGTGGTGGTACTGCGCCGCCCAGATCCATCAGCAGCCGCCCTCCAACTCCAGGAGTTTCGGGTACATGAGGTACCATACTCGAAGTGGAAGCCAAAGAATTCTCTCCAAAGTCGCCTCCAAAGCCCACAGCATTGTCCTGAAAAGTTGGCTGGAAGTTCTCCACGAAAGAAGTGAAGCCTGCAAGCTGGCCTGAGTCCGCATGAGCGGACAAGGTGCCCTGAGTCTGCTGCTCTGCGCCTTGGACCTTGGCAATCTCGATCATGTTGAAGACATAGAACTGTCTTCCTCGCTCATTGACGCACTTCACATCGCCTCTTGCCATTGCTCTGTCGAGAGCCGCCTCTGAACCTAACTTGGCAATGATGAGGCTCTTGGGGTAGCCTTTCAACTTGTCGCTTCCCTGGATGTGGCTGTAAGACTTTGCCACCATGCTGATCACCGGACTCTGCAAGTCCAACTCGAAGGTGCCATCCTCTTTGCGCTTCACAGCGCCATTCACCAGCTTAGTTTTGTCCTCGCGCCTGACATCTCGACTCTCGAAAAGCTGCCTGATTTCCACCGGGAGCTTCTGGAACTGTTTCCTGAAGAAGTACGCCTTGCGCTCATCCCTCTTTTCTAATTGCAGCTTGGTGTCATCTTGGTCATGACCTTTTGCTTCTGGTTCCACTGATTCTTCTTCCTCTGAGTCCTGTGACATTTGGATCTTCGCAGCTTTCTCCAAGTTTTTCTTTTCCTTTGCTCATCTTAGGCTCATCCTTCTCTTCCTTCTCCTTCTTTCCCTTCTTAGGCGCATCGTTCTTCCCCTTGTGTCCTTTCTTAGGCTCAGCAGCCTTCTCCTTCTTAGGCTCATCGCCCTTCCCCTTCCTTTCCTTCTGCTTCTTCTCTTTTTTGCCCTTTGTATCGTCCTCCTCCAGTACCTCCCGTGGTTCCATCTCATCGTCTTTTTTCGTCTTTTTCTTTGGCTGAGGTTTTGGACATGCAGCTGGCCTCTTCAAGACTTTGGCTTTTGGAGCGGCTTTGGATTTAGGAGCTTTGGAAGAAGGTCTCTTCAGCACATCTTCACCATGTTCTTCTTTTTCACTTCCACCATCACCAGCAATTATGGCCTCCGCTGGAGTGCTTGTAATCTCTTCGCGTGCCTGACACATGCAGAGTATACAGAATGGTAACAAACATTGGCAGCTGAATATCTGGATAGGAATTGAATGCGCAATCCAAAAAGTAGAATGCTTTCCCAAGAGAAAAGAACATATAGAAATGTTGAATAAATGTGTCGAGAAAATTCCGAAAGATAATGTTTATGAGAAGATTTTGGATTCCACCAAAGGTCTTAGGCCTCCCCATCTTTGTCCCCAACGTAGCTCGATGCAAGAGCCATAGCGGAAGCAAAGGCTTCCTCAGACATCCTATTTATACTCAGATCCAAAAAAACCTGCAAGGAAATATATAGCATCGCAACTGCATAGCAGTTCCCTCCTGATGAACATGCTTTCTCTGTGCATATGCCACAAAGAAATCATGAATCTCACAAAAACTCTCCTCTCGATCACTCAGAAATCTCACAAAGACAAAGAAATCTAATAGGACACTCTCTCTCTCTCTTGACAGGAAATTCATAAGATAATGTCAATCAGAAAATGCGCTCTCAGTCTCTCCATATACTCTCTCTCTCTCAGGAAAAGAACTTCACTCTGAAAAAGTCACTCAGAAAATACAGTTTTCTTTTTTTCGCTCTCTCTCTCTCTCCTTGTATCTCCCTCTCTCTGAAAACCCACAACAGATCTACAAAAAATCTCTGCTAGAAACTATCCATATCACTCTCTCCTGAAAAAATATCATATATATATATATATGCACTCTCTCTCTCCCTCCAGAGTTAGATCCCTCAGAAAAATCATCAAAACATCAACAAAAACCAAACAGCTGCTGACTCTATATATGTCTTGATTCTTACATAATAAGATATCTCTTACTTAGATGATAAGATATATATCTTATCATATTAAGATATATTCAAGCTGATAAGCTAAGACATATCTTGGCTATTATTAAGCTAAGAGGATCCTTGGGGCACCTCGACATGGACCTTGCGACTGCCATGAAGCGATTCACGTCCGCAGACTTCAATCGCATGCTGGCCGAAGGCCAAGGCAGGTCCTCAGTTGCTGACTCCGGAGCTGGATCCTCTGGGGATCGGTTGCGGCTGATCGAAGAGAACTACAAGCTGCGTGATCAGCTCAAGCGCCAGGAAGGGAAAGAGACCCGTGAGCGTTCGCGGTCACCCAATAGGAAGGTCAAGCGCGAATCCACTGACGAGGAGGAAGAGCGCATCATCCGCGAGAACAAGCGCCGCGACAGGAGCAAGAGCAGGCATCGCGAGCGCAGCACAAGCACCACTGAGAGCAGGAAGTAATTCCTCAAGCTTGCGGATAAGACCACATATCCCAAGTCGGCACCGCCGAGGCGAGCACGTTCCACGAAGCCGGAACGGCGTACGCCAAAAGGGAGTGTTGGCGTCTTCCTCAAAGAGAAGGCCGCGAGGAGCGAGGAAACTCCGACCGCTTCGGAAGGAGTTCCTCAGAAGGCTTCGGACGGAACCTCTCCGAAGAAGCCAGACAAGCGCCGCCCTCGTGAGCCGGCATATCCTCCCGGGGTGAAGGCGATGGAATCCCCGGAAGAGCGCGAAGCGAACAAACGCGAGCGCGAAGAGTCCGAGAAGAAGGAGAAGAAGCCTAAGGTGAAGGCAATGCCATCGAAGGTGAAGGCCAAGCCAAAGGCCCCGGATTCGAAGTCGGATGCAAAGCCGGCGAACTCCGGATTCACCAGCGGTGCATTGGGGATGCTTCGATCCGCACTTGCATCGAACCTCTCCTCAGAGATCGAGACTGAGGAGGACCCGGACAAGAAGGCCGAGCTGGAGAAGCAGAAGAAGGAGCTCCAGCGTGACACGCCTCGCCAGTCGATCAAGATCACCGAGGACAACATGCGCGACCAAAGCTTCCACGACTCCAGGTACTATGCTGACGTGGCGGCTGGCAAGCCGCATCACATTGCCTGGAAGAACGAGAAAGGCCGTCGTCGGACGATCTTGGACCGGCGAAGCGGTTTGGTCGATCGAGCGTCAGAGAAGCTTGAACTTGATGACAAGTGGCACTCCAAGCATAACGCGCCAGGAACTGGCAAGAAGCGCAAGGATCTCGATGGCCTCAACGCCGATGTGGATACCGAGGTTGTGGAAGATCGCAAGGACAAGTCGAAGCCGATCGAGCGTCGAGATGAAGCCGTGCCTTTGAGCCGGAAGGAACGCGAATCCTTCCAGCAGTTCCCGGATGACGAGAAGGCAGTGCTTGAGCGGCCAGCGACCCGCAAGGCAGCTGAGCCTCGCATCCGCGGAAAGGACTACTACAAGCGCAAGCGTGAGGCACGCAAGGAGCGGAAGCGTCAGGCCAAGCATGAGGCCGAGCGCACGCGGCAGCGACGCCACAGCTGGGATGACCAGTACAACAACTGGCAGGAGGACGAAGAGGAGGAGGCGCCCGAAGTCCATGATTCGGGTTCAGAGCCGAATGAGACGGATGAAGAGCGATCGGATTCCGAGCTCAATTCGTTCTCGGCACCTCCGAACGCGTCGTTCGGAGAGCCGCATGTCGTTGAGGAGCGCAGCTACAAGACCGCGTCGGCTGAGTCGCTGGCGGATGAAGGCGGAGTTGTCCTTCGTGGGACGGACGCCAATGGGAGCTCGAAGATTTTGGAAGGCCGGGTCACAGGCGTTCATCGCACCCTGGCCTCGGGAGCGAAGGTGGCAAAGCACCGCCACATTGCGCTCGGAGCCCGTGGCGGATTGCTGATCCCGAAGGACTCCAAGGCTGGAAAGGAGTATTCAGCCTTCACTGACAAGCTCTATAAGAAGCATGAGGGAATGACTCCGGTGGCTCCGACTCTTCTGGCGGGCCTCCCAATCGGGTCTAAGTCCGGAAACTCCAACCATTGGAGGATGCTCCAGCCGCGTCGGCCGGGGCACCCGATGAGGAATCGGGAGAAGAGGTTGGAGAGGAGCAAGCGCAGGTGATTGTAAAGCGATCACCGGCGGATCCTACAGCTCAAGAGGTACAGGAACATCGTGCCGCCGGGCATGTTGTTCACCGGACCGGAGCTGGTGCATCCACTGCCAAAGGGCCCGCGTAACGGGTCCGCGACACCCACGTGGACTTGCAGCTCAGGACGAAGAGGGTAGGATTCCGCATGTTTCACTCGACTACTGCTACATGAACGCAGGGCAGGAAAAGAGAAGCGACTCGGAGGGCGACGGCATTTTGCCGTGCCTGATCGTGAAGTGTCACAAGACGGGTCGTTATTGGGCGAACGTGGTTCCATCGAAAGGGGCAGATTTGTTTTCTGTAGTTTGGTTGAAGGCTTGCCTCAATGAGACAGGTTTAAATGAGCTTGGTTTGAAGAGTGACAACGAGCCGGCCATCCTTGCTCTGAAAGGCAAAGTGAAGGAGGAAAGTAAGCTGAAGATTCACATGGTTGAAGCGCCAGTGGAAGATCATCAAGCAAACGGGTACATCGAGGTCGGTGTACGGGAGCTCAAGCGTCAGGTGAGGGCCATCTTGTCTGACCTGCAGGAACGACTTGGGTTCGAGGTTGAGCCAAGTCATCCATGCATGATGTGGCTGCCACGGCACGCCGCATATCTTCTGACCCGGTTTCGCATTGGGCCAGATGGGAAGACTCCCTATGAAAGAACCTTCGGAAAGAAGTGGAGGACTTGTTTAGTGAGCTTCGGCGAACACATCCTGTTCAGGCCAAGGCCACTTCGTGATGGTCGACGACATGATCTTGCACCAAGAGTTTCAATGGGGATGTATGTTGGCACAGGGTTGCGCAACAACGACGTCTTCGTCATGACCGCGAGGGGAATAGTGAAAGGTAACACTATCGCCCGAAGACCTCCCGAAGATCAGTTCAAGTACGAGGACTGGAGTGAACTCCGGGGAGTTCCGTGGAGACTCGAGGCTCGTGAGCCTGGCGAGGTTCGAGTTGACCTGCCAGTCGTTGCAGGGCCAATGACAAGGCCACCAGTTGAGGAGGTGATTCCAAGGAATCTCTATGTGACGAAGAGCGACATCGACAAGTTCGGATACACCCCACTGTGTCCAGGTTGTGAGGCACAGTTGATGGGAACGGGTCGTAGAGCCCATAACCCAGAGTGCAGGTTTAGGATTGAGAGCGAGCTCATGAAGACCGAAGAAGGAAAGCAGAGGATCGAAGCTGCAAAAACTCGGATTGATGCCGGGCGACGCCCTAAGGCTCCAAGAGTTGGAGGTGGGGCTGGCGAGCCAGAGGTTGTGGAAGCTGCCAGCGTTCCCGCGTTGGTAGGTGTTCCAGAGCCTGATGCCGAAATGGCCTCGGGAGAAGCTGTTGGAGAACCACTTGAACGAGTTGCACGTCGCGAACTCGAAGACCGAGGAGAAGATCCCGGAAGCCCAAAGAAGAAGCAGAAGTCCGCTGTCCGCCGGACTAAGCGAAGTTCGGAGGCAGACATTGAAGAGCTGCATCACCAGATGCAGGATGAAGCAACTGCAGGCGCAGTTGTAGATGACGAAGGGGCAGCGGTAATGGGACCACTCCCATCGGCGGGGAGCACAGATCCTCAGCCACCAAGAGTTCCAGTCGCAGCTCCAGACATTTCATCTGGAGGCAGCGGCGCCATGGATCTAGGACATCTTTCAGATTGTCTTTGTTCTGTTTTGAGAGATGCCCGCAAGAAGGGCAACGTACAGAAGACTGCTTCAGAGATCTTTTCACCGCCAAGAGTTTCAGCGCAAGCCCAATTGGTTGGATTGCGCCCTGGATTTGCAATCGACCTTGAGACCAAGCGAGAAGACGGAAGTCATTGATTCACACATTGAGGATTTGTTTTCACTGCTTGAGAAAGAGAAACCCAAGCTTTTAGGTGGTTCACCTCCTTGTGGACCATTCTCACAGCTCCAGAACTTGGTCGACATTCGGAATCATGTTCCCCAGTCGGTCAGGTCACAAAGGTTGCAAGAAGGCAAGAAGCATCTGCGAACTTCAGTGCGCGCCTATCGTGTACAGATGGACGCAGGCCGCTACTTTTTGCATGAGCATCCGAAAGGAGCACGCAGCTGGGAAGAGCCAGTCATCAAAGAACTTCGAAACGATCCACGTGTTTACGAAGTTGTTGGGCCTATGTGCAGGTGGAAAATGGAATCAGAAGACGCGCGGGACAAGGGCCTAGTGAAGAAAGAAACCAGGTGGCTGACCAACTCGCCGCACTTGGCGAGGACGCTATCTGGCGTATGCTCCAATAGCCAAGGCAAGACTTGGCACCGACGCGTCAACCTCATCAACGGTCGGGCAAGATCGGCACAGGTCTACCCGCCACTGTTGGTTCGAGGGATTCTTGAAGCGTTGAGAAACCAACTTGCCGAAGATGGTGAGTTCAGCCAAGCTTTGAACTCGCTGGGTGCTGGACCGGTACCAGATGCCGCTCCAGTCATAGACGAAGAGCAAGAGGTCTTTGACCATCTTCCTTCCGCTGACGTGACAGTCACCGGACCAGTCTACGACACCAACACTGGTGCAGAGTTGGACTTGGAGAAAGTTGCCGCCGCTAGGAAGGAGTTGGACTGGGTTCAACGCCAGTGCATCTACAAGAAAGTGGATGCAGAAGACGCTCGAAAGGTTGGAAAAGTTCCAATCGCAATGAAGTGGGTTGACCGCAACAAGGGCGACAACGAAAGACCCAACTACAGATCTCGCCTTGTTTGTCGTGAGATCAAGAGCCCACAATGCAGAATATATTCCAGAGTACGCAAGCTTTAGTGCAATGCCACCTCTGGAAGCTTTGAAGATTTTGCTTTCTTTAATGGTCACGCTGAAGGTTTCCAAGCGCAACCGCAAGCCGTTGAAGGTTCGGCTGATCGACATCAGCAGAGCTCATTTTTACGGTCAAGCACAGCGTGAAGTGTTTGTCACCCTCCCGGAAGGTGATCAAGAAGAAGGCAAGGTAGGACTGTTGTTGAAGAGCATGTATGGCACGCGCGATGCAGCCAACGTTTGGCAGCAATCCTACGCTGATGTTTTGAATCGAGCCGGATTCAAAAGATCTGCTGCTTGGCCAGCCATCTTCTTTCACGAGAAGTTGGAGGCAAGGCTGTTAGTCCACGGTGACGACTTTGTTATCTTGGGCGACGACGCAGCTCAGCAACATGTCGAAAAGGCATTAAGAGAAGCATACGATCTCCGTGTTGACGGAAGTATAGGTGATAGGTGTTGGAGAAACTAAGCAGGAGTTTTGCATCCTGAACCGTCTCGTACGCTTCGACGAGAGGTCAGGAACCATCTTCTACGAGCCAGACCCACGCCATGCAGAGATCTTGCTGAAGGACCTCAACATGGAGACTTGCAAACCAGTGAAGAGCCCAAACGAAAAGTTGACAGCAGAAGCATTGGCAAAGAGGATGGAACTTGATGTTGTTGATCCTCATCGGATCAGCCAATACCGTTCTCTCACAATGCGTGCAGCGTTCCTAGCTCAGGACCGCCCTGATTTGTCGGAGACGGTCAAGTGTTTGGCAAGGAAAATGCAAGGTCCGACCGAAGCTGATTTTGGAGACCTCAAACGTCTTGCCAGATATTTGAAAGGAACAATGCGCATGGTACAAAAGTTCACTCCGCAAAAGTTCAGCGATGTTGTTTCAGTTCATGCAGACTCCGATTTTGCCGGCTGTCTCTTGACTCGCAAGAGTACAACGGGCCTGGTATGCTACTATGGGCGACATTCACTTCGCCACTCGAGCAATCTCCAGTCCACGGTTAGCTTGTCTTCAGGTGAGAGCGAATTTTACGCGTTGGTGAAAGCTGTAGCTTCTGGCATGGCAACCCAGGAGTTGTTCAGGAGTTGGGGCATCAACACAAAGCTCCACGTCTACACCGACTCGTCAGCAGCAGTTGGAACATGCAACCGATTTGGACTTGGAAAGTCGAGACACGTCCAGACTCGATTTCTTTGGATTCAAGAGAAGTTGGCAGAAAAGGTATTCGAACTACTATTCAAGATCGACACGAAGCTGAATACTGCTGACATTTGTACAAAGGCACTAGCTAGTGAGGCAGTAGAGCGCCATTTAAAGGCGATGGGTTTTGAGGCACTTTCAGGATGATCTTCGATAGCGAAAGCTGTCACGTGATTGTCTGTACAGTGAGCAAAAGTGTTCTCAAAGTGGACACAAGCTTAAGTCACCTCGTGTCCAGCTGGGGTGATTTGAGTTCTAGACCCTCATAAACATGAGTGGTACCCTTGTTACTTTTGGCTCAAGTAAATAGGAGCGTTGCTACTTTCTGTTCAGCACCCCAGTCTTCGTGGGGCTTCCGCTCCTGACAGTTTCCATGGCTGCCTGAGGTGTTCGCAATCCTTTGCCGGAAGGCCCGTGTGTTGTCGCTGTGCTTCGAAGATGTGAGAATAGATTGGATGTTCGGAATCGAAAGGCTGCCTTGAGAGCCCCTAGTAGCGTCCTTGCTCCTAGTAGCGATGCCAGGAGCCCCTAGTAGCTTCTTGTTCCTAGTAGTAAGGCCAGGAGCCCCTAGTAGTGTCCTTGCTCCTAGGAGGAGTGAATCCATGCGAATCCTGACATTGCTTCGCCAATGGTGATCAGTAGTCCGTGTTTGGTGCTGTATCAGTTGCCAGCTTGGAGAAGCAGGGTTGGTGAGTACAGATGCGAGGCACTGCGCAACCTTGGTTGGGACAACTGGCTGGTACCTCCACCTCTGGCACCAGATTCTGATGGGGTGTGGGCTACCAGAGTTGTATTCCAGCTTCGGTTCAAGTGAATAATGGGCAACGGTCACCTGTTTTTAAGCGATCCTGGCCACCCGCAAGTGTTTTGAGCTCATATGATCTTCCAATGTTGTGCCATGTTGTGCCCACAATCCTGCATGACAGAACAGACGTTTTTTGCCATACACGGTTTGCCCAGGCAACGCTGACAGTGTTGGTGGCGTTGATAGCAGGCGGCAGAGTTGCAATGCAATTAATTGCACAGACAAGTGGATTGATGTGAAGGAAACTGCCAAGGGCACAAGATGCGCCTGATCATTCTGAGACCGTTCTCACTGGACTGGACGGCTTCACCCAACCAGCTAGACTCTGGCCGAGTCATTTGTGTTTTTCTGTTTGAACGATCTGGAACATCCGTTGCCGAGGGCTCCTGGCATCGCTACTAGGAGCAAGGACGCTACTAGGGCCTTTGATTTGGGCTGACCGATCGACTGAGCTTTTGAGGTCCAATCGACCTCGCGCGGACCTCATTTGTCGAGTCAACCTGCAACCGAGAGAGTTTAGCAGCAACTGAGAGGCCAAAGGGAAGTTCAAAATGTGTTTCTCGCCGTTTTGTTCACAACCCCCCCTGGAGCCTCCTCCCCATGAAGTGTGCAAGGCAGGAAATCTTTGAAGTCATGTTACATGTTGCTGTTCGGTTTAGATCAAATGCAGTTCGAATACAAATTGCGTCATATAATTAAGTACCCCTCTCCAAGATTGGCCATCATCAAGTACCCCTCTCACACAGCATGGTCCTGGATGTTTCAGAATGCTTCAAGCAGGGGCCTGTTCGCAGACGTCAACATTGGTGACCCTGAAACGCATTGGAGTGATGTGGCCTTGGCATGCCATGGCCGAGAAGACTCTGGGCACCTCCTGGCCTGGAGTGCAACCGCAGTTGCACAACAGATTAAATGAAAGTTGTGGAGGGTGAAGCCTTTTGGAAGCCACAGCACGACGTGGCACGTTTGCCTTGCACGTGTATCATAATAATTCAAAATGATTCATAATATGATGATCATGTTTTATAATGTTGTATATATATATATCTCATGTCATGACATGCCTTCATAAATCAAGCATGTTCAACAACTGGAATAAGATTATATAAGAAAGTGTAGATGTTGATCAGTCCGATTCTTTTTCATTGAAAACTAGCACTTCGAAAAGCCATGGTCGACGCCGGCAACGCTTACCTGTGGTCCATTGGGTTCGCTATTGCCCACGTGTTAGCTCGATAGACAGGAAGCACTCCTTGGCACACATCAACTGAACTCTCCTGGGAAAGAAGTCCGCCGCCCCCCTGGATGGATTCCCGATGTCTCAGGAACACCAGCTGAATTGAAATCCTTGGTGTCACCAGATGTGGCCCCTGGGATTTCCAAAGGCTTCGCGGTCCTTGACATCACCGAGTCCGAAGGTCAAGCCAGATGGTGACAATATGCGTGTCCCAGGACAAAACAAAGGTTGAAACAATAGTTGAAGGATTCCACATAAGGTGGCCCCCTCTATAGAGGTACTGTACATATGTAGCTCCACTTGGTTGTTCTTGGACATCACATGTCTTACCAAGGTGTATCACTCATTTTGGATATGATCCGACTTTTGGCTCAAGCACTGCTAAAACAGCGCGTTCATTCGTTACGTCGATCGGAGGCGTGTCGTCGTAACAACAGGTTAACAGCCTCATCAGTCTCTTTCCATATTCGTGGTACTTGCTTGATTGAGCCCAAGTGTAGTCCCACATCCATATACCCATCTCATTCGCTTTCGTGCCAACATCGGTTTGCAAGGCACTTGTGCGTGAGCTCAGTGAAGCAAGAAGCAGAGCATCTTGGCAAGGACTGTTCAGGGTGCATCAGGGCTGGTCGTCTGCACTCCCGTGCAGCCCCAGTTCCTGAAAGAAACCAACTTCCATATTAGAGAGTTAGGAATTGCCAGCAACTGCATTCGGTAAGTGGTTCGACTTGTTAGTCCCTGTCCCTCAAGAGAAACTGGTACTGAGTTGAATCGTGTCAAAGACCTGTCGAGTGCATTCGCTGTTGAGTTGAGACCCACTCCAAAAGTGTGTTCTTAGTTTGGCATTTTGCCAGAGATCCCAATACTTGTGCAAGGGCATTCGTCTTGTGAGATCCTAAGAATTTAGTGAACCAAAGGTATCAAGAAGTAAGTGTGCGTGACATCCCGTTGTTGTGGCTGGAGCAAGCAAAGTAGTTTCACTGCAAGCGTGTTTCACCGCAAGCGTTTGTTTCACCGCATTGCCACGCGTTTGTTTCACTGCAAGCGTCCTCTTGATACTTGAAGCAACTGGTGCGTTCTTTCGAGTTGCATGAGCCGTCGTCCTGTCACACCACCGCGGCCGAGCCGCCGCCCTGTGACTCCACCGCGTCTGAGGAGGGAGAGATCGCGTTCTCCGTTGACCATGCAGCAGGAGGGATTGGTTCACGCGTTTCAGCGGAACGTTGCGACTCGGAGAGGAGGCCGACAGGCTCGGGCCAGGACCCGCGGCATCCATCGAGGTTTGTTGCAGGTGCTTCACGAGAGGATTCTGCGTGTGTTGGAGCAGCTTTGGGACCGTGCGCAAAGGCAGGTCTACGAGGATCGTCTTCGACAGATCGAGGAGAGGCAGGCTTTTCTCGAGCGTGGCTATCCAGAGAACAAGTATACTGTGCTTCCGAACATCAGAGATTTTTACATTGTTGTGGCGGTGTTGAAGTTCCGTCGGACATTGAGTCGGTATCTTTGGTGGAGACCATTGTTGATTCGGAGGAGGAAAGGGACGAGCCGATTGTTGTGGAGGCCGGGCCTCTTGACTTCGCAGTGCATCACGGGCTTGAGCGTGTTTCTTCATCATCGACCATCGAGCACATTCGTCTTGTTGAGCGGCGTGAGGCACCAGACGTGCTCAGGCCGCAGTTGATCTTTCCTCCGTTGCCGGGTTGGAGCGGTTGGAGGCAGTGGGAGCTGGAGGTGCAGATTGAGGACGGTTTGGCACGGATTCATCCACAGACTCGTTTGGTGGTGTCGTGGGATTTCCATCAGGTGCTGGATTGTTTTCGGGTGTCCTCAAGGCAAAGGGAGCATTGCGAGAACGGTCGATTGCCTTCACAGGTACAGGATACATTGGCTCGCGTGGCGGCGTTGTCCAGCAATCCGACTCAGATCGTTACTTCGTATTGCCATCAGACAGCGACAGTGAACAACGTTTTCCATCATTGTCGACCTCAGCCAGAGTTTGCGCCCAATAGATCTGGTTAGACAATTTCCTGCCTAATAGTTAATTCCTTATTTCCTAACTAATTTGTTACTTTTTAAGGTTGCAAAATTAACTTTCTTAAGGTTATTTAGGTTTTTTAAGGTTATTTGTTTGAGGTAATTTCTTTCTTTTTTCATGGAAAACTCAAAGAAACAAGTTGTTTTCCCAAGTTCTTTTGTGTTTGTGCATCTAGGATTACTGTCACAAGTGGGATTGTTTTTTGTGTCAAGAATGATCTGCAGCTAGGGTTACTGATGTTTTCTGCTGTTGGCACAAGCTGGTTTCAAGCTGTGTGGCTAAGAATTGGATGTCATGGCTGGCCATTTAAATGCAGTCACATGGACATTGTAAAGAGGAATCATACACACGAAGTGGAAAACATATTCATTCATTCATTCAAGGTAGGCAGGGTCGGTGATGAGGAATTATTTGATGTCATTCAGTTCACGCACTCCTTTCAGCTTGAGGCTCAAGCCAAAAAGGAGCGTCGCTCCGTGTGAATCAGGGTCGCTGATTCGCAAGATTCTTTTTGTGTGCGAGCCATGGCTGACGCAAGTGCTCGACGTGCGGTTGAGCAGGAGAAACTGAATACCTGGTGTGCCAGGATGGGGATTCAGAGTGCAAGCGACTTGGCTTTCTGGTTTACCTCCTACGAGGAAGCACTTCGTGAAGCCGGTCGCGCAGTGGCAGATGGGTGGGATCTCGCTCGCCGTGAGAGCGAACCGGGGATGGCAGCCCTGGTTCGGCACCTTTTTGCGAGAGAGACAGTTCGCCAATCTCGCCCGCCACAACCATCCAGTATTCCGGCTCCTTCAATGCCTTCATCTTCGGTGGCACGTCCAAAGCCGTCTTCATTTGCTGGGCCTGTCAAGCCAAAGAAGCAGCCAGCCCAGCCGGCCGGTGCGAAGGGCGGAGTCGCCGCCTTGTTTATTCGTGACTTGTTGGGCATTATGGTGACCTTGATGCCTCCGCCACCTGCTCGACGAGATGAATACATGGCCAATTGGTCCTCCCGCTTGGAGAAGCTATGTGCCCGCACCGAGGCGGCTACCATCAAGCGCGTGGTCCATACCTGGAAGGACTTGGTGCGCTATATGGACCATTTGGGTTTGAAGTTCCCTGACTCCCATGCATTGGCCACCTTCGCCCTGGGCTGGATGATCCGAAACCTTCGTGTACCACTGGATTTGAGTGAAGCTTCCAGGCTGGCTCCGGTCCGGAGCACTCGGCTGGGACAGGGGCAGTCCCAGGCAGCCCCGCTTGAGCCGGGCATGGTGACTCACTTGTTGGGGGTCCTGGAGTACACGGCCGAGCATGCTCACTGGCCTATCCTGATGGCTGCTGCGGCCACGGTGTTTGGGC